ACCGTGCGGCTGGGCTACCGTGCGGCTGGGCTACCCTGCGGCTGGGCTCCCGGGGCACCTGTGTGCTCGTGGCAGAGGAGCGCTATGCTAGAACAGAACAGGAGGCCCGGCCTTGGAGGGCTGCAGTAAAATGCTGGTCCCTGAGCCATTGTCTCCCTCCCTCCCTCCCTCCCTCTCCCCCTCACCTCTACGACACTGTTAATTAAAGCAGTGCGTGAAGCGACATTGGAGCTCTATATTCAGTTCTGCTTGGCACGGCCCGCTTGGCGTACACGGTCTCTCCAGGGCGTTATCGGCTGGACCACTTTTGAATTAATAATGATCAGACTTCACATGAAACCATAGAGCGTAGTTTTTCATGCTTTATAATCATTAACCAGCTCTCTGCTCAGATGAGAGGAAGGCAGCAAAGTAACAGAGGCCAACCGAATTCACACAAAACGCCCCAGACATGGGGACAGGGGTCCCACTCCATGCTTTGTTTGGTTTTCTCTGTTTTGTAGAGTTAGGCACTATCCACACGACTCTCAGATTATCGTGGCTTCTTACCATCTTCTCTCTATGCCTTTCTGAACAACGTCCCTGAGGAAGCCCAGATCCTTGAGGAGTGGTGCAGGGTGTGCATGGACTGGGGTGTTTTGTGTGGGAAGCAGGGTGACACCGTGAACTGTGCAGCTGTCTGCCCGAGGCTCTGTGTCGGGCTCTTTAGATGCTGTGCGTGGGCTTTCCCTGACCCCCGGCTATGACCGCAGTGGCCCCCACGATGCCGGGGCAGGGGGGGGGGAGAGGGAAGGGCCACAGCCGGTTGGTGTTGGTGTGGTATGGATCGCAGCTCTCAGCGGTCTTGGTGTAGCTGCTCATTCCTGTAGTTTGGGGAAATGATGTATCATGGAGCCAGTATAGTAGTGTCCTGTTTTCTTTGAGATGAGACATATCTGAAGACTTCAATGAGCTCCCAAAGACAGCACAGGCACAACTTGGTTTGTGCTCCAACAATAATCTTACAATTTGAAAGTGTAATAAAAAAAAATGTGTGGGGCTGGGAAGGTGGCTCAGTGGTAGAGTGCTTGGCTTGCATATATTAGGCCCTAGGTTCTATTCCTCAGTACCACAGAAGCAAAAAAAGCCGGAAGTGGTGCTGTGGCTCAAGTGGTAGAGCGCTAGCCTTGAGCTGAAGAGCTGAGGGACAGCGCCCAGGCCCAGAGTTCAAGCATCATGACCACCACTACCACCACCACCACCACCACCAAAGCAGATTGTTTTGTTTTTCTGCATAAATCTACATTGTATTTAAGAATACAAAATCGAGGGCTGGGAAGGTGGCTCAGTGCATGCATGAGGCCCTGGGTTCGATTCCTCAGCACCACATAAGCAGAAAGAAAAAAGCCGGAAGTGGCGCTGTGGCTCAGGTGGTAGAGCGCTAGCCTTGAGCTGAAGAGCTGAGGGACAGCGCCCAGGCCCAGAGTTCAGGCCCACGACCGGACCCCCCAAAAAAGAGTAAAGATGTATCATGAAAGTCCTCTTTCCACCCGAAGTCCCTACCTGCTTGCAGCGACTACTTCTCTGGTGGCTTCTATTTGGACGGAACAGAAATAAAGCTGCGGACGGTTCTTGCAGGCGTTCAGAAGTCGGAGCTAGCAGTTTCTGTTCTGGGAGAGAAGCGTGGGGCCGTGGCGGGAGGTAGGTGAGTGCATCGCTGCTCAGGTGGGGAGGAGGCCTGGCCTCCGCTCCGTGAGCGGGTGCGTCCGCAGAGGGCCGGTGTGTGGGGAACCCCTGCAGAACTGTCCGCGTGCAGAGGTGGAGCAGCAGCGGGCTCTACTGACCCCGCACCGCCAGGCGTTTTCCCGGCCCTCCGGTCCACTGGCAGCTGGTGTGGGCGCAGAGTCTTGATCTGGCTGCAAAATGGCTATGGAGAAAGCTGGTGGCCTACGTGGTTCTGTTCTTTGTTCAGCTTCATGTCTGCTTTCGATGATCACCAGGAGTGTTTCAGATCTTCTCCCTGGAACCATCTTCTCCGGTCTCGAACCGCTCTTTGCCGCAGGCTTTTCTTCATCCTCTGACGGGCACTCAGGGGACCTCCATCTGGAGAAGGTTATTCTGTGTTACTCACACGATCAGCTCTGCGCCTTTTCTTTATGGAAATCCCTCAGCAGAAGCTGGATCTCCTGGATTGGTCTTTAAGCTCTTTAAAAAGTAAGGAGGAATTCTTAATGTCACTTCCAAACCTACCATTTAAAGTTTCACTTAGCAAGTGCCTTTTTTTTGTAGCATGTGTCCTTGGTTTTCTGATTTTATTTATTTTTCTCTTAAAAAGGTTTGTCTTGATGCCTGTTGGTCTTTCTCTTGTGAGTTTTAGTTGTATGTTCTTGGCCGTTCGGGTTGGAGTGGCATCTTAGCGGCGTGGTTGTTTGGGCTCAGTGTTTCGTCGCAGACATTCCTGTACTTTCTGGTCTCCTGCCGTGGCTGCATCCGTTTCCCCAGTAAGTGTGTCTGGCAGAGAGGCGTCCGAGGGCTGGCGCTGTGGCTTCTGTTTCCAGCCAGGCTGCCAGTGGCAGCCTCTGGTTCACTAAGTGTGCCCGGATCTCATCTCCTGTCCCTCATTCCTCACACATTGCTCCAAGTCTTATTACAGTCTAGCTTGAGTTAAGATGAAGTGTGTGCGCTCCGACCTGCCTGGACTCGCACTGAGTCCCGAGGCGTTGATTTCATTTCTGTTGGGGGTCTATGGCTTGGGAGCAGCGCTCAGCCAGCCTCTGTACCCTGGCCCTTCAGACTGGATTTTGTCCCAAGTTCTAGGATGGAACCTGGGAAGAAATATGGACAAGTTCAGTTCCTCATGCTACTTTGTGATTCTGGAGAATTAAACAAACCCCACACACAATCTTGTTAGCAAAACAAGGTCATCAAAATAGCCTCCCTTGGTCATCTGAGTGGATCCTGCCCATCCCCAAGTCCTTCCCCAGGTCTATGACTCAAATAGCCTTGCCCTTAACCAAGTGATCTCTTGACTCTTCACACCTAATAAAAACATTGAAAGTTAGAAAAAAACCAAAAATCCAGCCTCAGGTGTCAGATTGTTTGTGCTGAGCTATCTCTGGTCTGAGTATCCGGACGCTGGACGGGACTTCCTCTGGGTTGGCCATGTGTAGCCTGTGTCTTGGTTTTTGTACTGATTTTTGTTAATTATTTGACCTTAGATAGCCCTTTCCACAGCCCTTGGGCCCGGTCTACATTCTGACCACTGAGGACTTGGCAGGGCCACGCAGGGCCCTGCGCTCCCTGCGGCAGGGGGCCGACGGCAGCGCTGAAGAGAATGGCTTCTGCTGCCACCCTACACGTGGCCGGCCACTGTCTGCGTGCTGGGGCGGAAGGGAGCCAGCTGGCACCCGAGCCCGGCCTGGGCGCCGCTCTGGGGAGCTTTCGACAGAAACAAATGGTTCTGAGCGTTAAGCTCATCATGGTGTGGCTGGGGTGATGACGGAGGCGCGAGGTTGGGGGCACAGTGGGCTGAGAGGGCACGGTGACGGTGACGACGACGACAGTGACGGTGACGACAGTGACAGTGACGACGATGGTGACGACGATAGTGACGACGATGACGGTGACGGTAATGATGATGATGATGGTGACGGTGATGACGGTGACAGTAATGATGATGACGATGGTGACGACGATGACGGTGACGGTAATGATGATGATGACGGTGACGACGATAGTGACGACGATGACGGTGACGGTAATGATGATGATGATGGTGACGGTGATGACAGTGACGATGATGACAGTGACGATGACGACGGTGACGATAACGATGATGGTGACGATGACGACAGTGACGATGATGATGATGACGGTAATGATGATGATGATGGTGACGATGATGATGGTGACAGTAATGATGATGATGATGGTGACGGTGATGACGGTGACAGTAATGATGATGATGATGGTGACGATGATGACGGTGACAATGATGGTGACGACGATGACGGTGACAGTAATGATGGTGACGGTGACGATGATGATGATGATGGTGATGATGATGGTGATGATGATGGTGATGGTGATGATGATGATGATGATGATGATGGTGATGGTGATGATGGTGACGGTGACAATGATGGTGATGGTGACGATGATGATGGTGACAGTGACGATGATGATGATGGTGATGATGATGGTGATGGTGATGGTGATGATGATGATGGTGATGATGATGGTGATGGTGATGGTGATGATGATGACGGTGATGGTGATGGTGATGATGATGGTGATGATGATGGTGATGGTGATGATGATGGTGATGATGATGGTGATGATGATGGTGATGGTGATGATGATGATGATGATGATGGTGATGATGATGGTGATGGTGATGGTGACGATGATGGTGATGGTGATGATGATGATGATGGTGATGGTGATGATGATGACGGTGATGGTGATGGTGATGATGATGGTGATGATGATGATGAGGATGAGGATGATGATGGTGACGATGAGGATGATGATGGTGATGGTGATGATGATGATGGTGACGATGATGATGATGGTGATGATGATGATGATGATGATGGTGATGATGATGACGATGACGATGATGATGATGGTGATGATGATGATGATGATGGTGACGATGATGATAATGATGGTGATGGTGATGATGATGATGGTGACGGTGACGATGATGGTGATGGTGACGATGATGATGGTGATGATGATGATGGTGATGGTGACGATGATGATGGTGATGATGACGATGATGGTGATGGTGACGATGATGGTGATGGTGACGATGATGATGATGGTGATGATGATGATGATGATGGTGGTGATGATGATGATGGTGATGATGACGATGATGGTGACAGTGACGATGATGGTGACGGTGACGATGATGATGGTGACGGTGACAATGATGACGGTGTCTCAGAAGCAGGATGGGTGCTTGGTGACTGTCTGTCCTCCATCTTGAGAGCCGGAATCACTGACTGAGGCACAGCCCCTCTCCTGGAGGTGGAGATAGGATGTCCATAGAAACTCCGGGAGGTTCTAGAAGTCCAAGCTCTCATCAGTACCCATCACGCTATCAGAGTCGTGGGTAGGTGTTGTTTGTAACCAGCAGATGTTTATCTGCAGGCTCTCAACGCCTGATCACAACAGCAGGCGGGCAGGTCTGGCAGGGGAGGGGCACCCCGCGTTCCTCCCTCCGGGGCCTCCGTCTCCGACAGTCAGACTCTTCCCTCTGTGACTGTCTGGAGGGCTTATTGCTTCTGGGATGTTTCTAAGTGTTGGTTGTTCAGGGATTGAACGCTGCAGAGTGCAGTGACACGCGGGTGTGTGCGCGTGAGGATCTTGCCTATTTTGGGGATGGACTGGTTATTTCTTTCATGTGTCTGTGTGATAGATTGCCAACTGCTTGGAATTGCACACGCACCATTAAGTATTGCATTTAAATTTAGCTCTTGTTCTCACTTTGGAAGGGGGAGGAATGTTGGAATTATTTCTCCACAAGGGAAAGCGATTAGAAGCCAGATCCCGGGGGTTGAGCAGGGGGTGAAGCCAGAGACCTGGCGGGGGGCTGCCGGCCGGGGGGCACGCCTCATGGGACCCGGCCTTGAGCTCTCTCGGAGCAGCGTTCTGTGTATAGCTCCGGGGTGACTGTACCTGTCAAGTCTGTCATACACTTTCCTTCAAGCAGGGGCCCGTGTCCCAATGGTGTCAACACATTGAAGTGTTTGTTCATGATGGGGTCTGGGCCGGCCCGGCCTCAGCAGCTGTCAGAGGGCCGGCCTCTCATCTCCACACCTCCGTGCCTGGCAGGCGTCTGGGACAACCGCTGCTCGCCAAACGGAGCCCGGGAGGAACGCGGGCGCCGTGCGCCTGTCCTCCAGACCCGGGAGGTCTTGTCCCGAGAGCCAGGGGGCCGCGTCTGGACTCGGCACACCAGGCTCCCAGTGCAAAACTGTCATAGTGAAGAGCTTGGTGTGCATGGAGTTGAACACCCAGGTCACAGGACTCCGTTGTGCTCATGACAGAGCTTTCTTGATGAGTCTATTACATATAGATGCATGCTCATGTGTGTGTATGAGTGTGCACGCACACGCAGCGACTGTCCGCTGGGCATTCCCCTGGCCGTGTGTGACAACTGTGTGTGCGTGAGTGTGCATGCACACGCAGCGACTGTCCGCTGGACATTCCCCTGGCCGTGTGTGACAACTGTGTGTGCGTGAGTGTGCACGCACACGCAGCGACTGTCCGCTGGGCATTCCACTAGCTGTACTCTTGTCATAAACTTTTATTCGTGTTTAATTGTTTTAGAATGTCTGTGAATGTACATGCATTGTGTAAGCATTGACGTGTAAGCGTGGGATAGAGGTATGTGTCTGTGTCTGTGTAAGGTGGGGCTTGTGCCCATGTGAGGTGACTCTGGTCCTTGGCAGTTGCAGAGGGTTGGTCTTGTCCTTCAGCTTTGTCCCCTCTGGGTCTGTGCGTGTGTGTGCGTGCGTGCACATGCGTGCATCTCTGTGTGTGTGTGTGTACATGCATGCATCTGTGTGCATGTACACACAGTGTAGCAACCTGGCTTTGCATATCACAACTGTCGGCAAATATTTGCAGGAAATCTCTCCCGGTATCTGGGCATCTTGCTCCCTGCCACCCGTTCCCTCCTCCTGGTAGATAAGGGTGCTGTGTCTGCCTCCCTGGTGCTGGGCGGAAGAGGCGTTCATGCCGTGCCCTTGGCTCTGAGCAGAGATTCTGTCCAAGCAATGCATGAGCCGTGGAAGGGGGAGACGTGGAGAGGGGGAGGGGCAGAGAGGAGAGAGCACCGAAGGCGAGTTACCTCTGCGGGGTCACCGTCGGCCCCAGGGGACATTGCCTAGGTCCCTCACCAACCTGATGCTTCTGGTAGGTTCTGTAGCTACGAGACAAAGGCAGTTGACGACACCTGGCTGGAGCCATGGGTTTATGGAGAAGAGACACGAATGGGCTGTGTCACAGGCTTGCCACAGCCTGCTGCGGCCCACCGCAGCGTGCAGGGCCCTGGGCTCCATCCTTGCCTCCACATTAATCGAGGGAACAGGCACAGCTCTGAAATAGCTCAGTAGAAAAAGCACAGCAAGAGATTAAGAGCATCAACGGACAACAAAATAGAACCACTCACGATCTGCTGTCTTACAAAGTGTTTTCCCATGTGTCACTTATTTCTGGAACTTGCCGCTTGTTCCTGAAGCAGTGAGGAGAGGGGCCAGCTAGAGGAATTTGTCAGAATCAGTTCTAAGTGGTACACAGACAGGCAGTGCACGGCGGGCCTGCAAACTTTCCTCTTTCAGAGTGTGTGTGTGTGTGTGTGCGTGCGTGCGTGTGTGTGAGTGCATGTGTGTGCGTGAGTGCATGTGTGTGCGTGTGCACGTGTGTATCTGTGTGCACGTGCATGCGTGTGCGTGTGTGTGCATGCGTGCATGTGCATGTGCTGTGTGTGTGCGCGTGTGTGTGTGTGCGTGTGCGTGCGTGTGCGTGCGTGTGCATGTGCGTGTGTGCATGTGTGTGCACATGCATGCGTGTGCGTGCGTGTGCGTGCGTGCACATGCGTGTGCGCGCACGCACACACATGAGCTAGTGGTGGGGCTTGAACTCAGCGTTGCATGCTCGCTCAGCCTTTTCCTCAGAGCTGGTGTTCTACCACTTGAGGCACATCTCTACTTCTGACTTTTTGCTGGTTAATGGAGATAAGCGTCTCATGGATTTGTCTGCCTGGGCTGGCTTTGAACCTCCATCCTGGCTTCATACACTAGAAAGTTAATACCAGGTTTTTGCAGGCAGCAAGGATTCTTGACAGTCTTATGGAAGGGACGTTTCTAGAAAGAACTCACAGGCAGGGTGCAGGATCAGAGACGCCGGGGCCGGGGCCGGGGCCGAATCTGCCCGGAGGCCAGTCTTGCCTTTGCCTTCCTGTGCTCACGAGGCGCTGTGTGTTTAACTGGCTGTGCCTGAGCCTGGCCCTGGGCTGTGCTGGCGGAGGGCACTGAGCACTGGACCCGCCCTGGGGAGCCAGTCTGCCACTGACCACGTCACCCAGGGCTGGAGCCGGGAGCACTTTTCCTACCGGATCAGGGCACTGGTGAGCAGGGGCCTGGCAGGTCTGCCGTGCTCCGGGCCCGCTGGCCAGGCGGGCGGTGGGGTCCTGGTGGACAATGCATGCCCAGGATGGAGTGTTCCCACGGCCACCCCCGCACGCCGCCTCCCTGGCTGCTTTCAGCCTCCAGGTGTTTACGACCTGCTGTCCAGCCAGGCCCTGTCCATCACCAATTAGTAACCAGGCAACAGAGGCTTCTCAGGCCGCAGCTGCCCATTCACCAACAAAAGGAAAGAGGTTGGCCGGGGAACATCACCCCGGAAACGGCTTAATTTTTAACCCCGAGGCTCGGAACCTTCTGTTCCCGTCGCACGCCCTTCCTGGACTCCAGCTGCACAGGGCTTGGTCACTATGGAGAGCAGGAAGAGCTATGCGGGGCCTGCTGGGGACTCTCCGGTCTCCTGGCTGGCCTCGGGGGCAGGCGGCGCTGACCTGAGTGGTGGGGAGCCGGGCCGGGCGGTGTGAAGGGCTGTCGCCTCTGGGCTGGGCACACTCCACCCTTGGTCGGGTCAGTGACCCAGGGGAGCCGCTGTGAGGGCCAGGCGGCGCCTGCTCCGTCCCCCCCCCCCCCGCCCCCCCCCCCCCCCCCCCCCCGTCCCCCAGACACTGCCGTGTGGCTAAGGTTCACAGGGGAGGAACGATCTGATGGTGGAGTGAATAAAGGAATGAATGAGGCCGGTCAAAGTGGAGCGTGTTCCTCTCTCCAGTTGTGTCTCGCTGATGTCAGAATTCGAAGGTGGCTTGCTGGAAACTTAGTTTACATTTTCAACATGGAAACTGCAAAGCTGTTCACTGTGACTAGAGAGGAAAACAGTCTTCACTGAAGGGTGGTGTTTAATCCTTCCCTCCCTCCATGCTTTCTCCCTCCTCCCTCCTTTCATCCCCTCTTGCCCTCTTTCCCCTCTAGATGGACTTACTGTTGTACAGTTAGATATAAAACCATCTTGTCTTCATTCTTTTCATGTGTGAAGACTTGGTTTGCTTTGTGTTGCTGGAGTCCTGAGTTTGTGGTGAGCGGCTGGAGTTGAGTTTGTGGTGAGCACATGGCAGGCCTGTGAA